AAACAATATATAAACATATATACGTAATAAATCTTAAAAGCTAAAATATCTAACAAAAAACTTTATATATAATAACAACAAATATAATCAAAACATATCTAATATTTTCAATATGTTCATACAATTGTTAAATATTCCTATAAATATATAAAATCCATTGTTTTATTTTATATATAAAAAAATCCCAATATTTGCAAGCTAGGTTTGAAGAGTATTATGGTTTTGAATTTTTGTCTGTTTCCTCAAGCAAAAACAATTAACCAATTCGCAACCACCAATGACACCGACCAATCGACAACCTCACGAAAACAGTTCTTACTGATCTGTAAGACGATTCCACTCGCGATATCAGCTTCATCGTCTAGGCTCTTTTCCTGAAGTGAGACGGGTTGATAACTTCACAATGACCTTTGTCAGCCAACACATCTTCCAACCACTGGTTGCGTGGGGCTGCTTTGCGTGCCAGTCAACAGTCCGTTGCAAGCCAGATATTGTTCGAACAGCAATCTGCTAACCGCAGTCAGCCCATTTCGCGCTCTTCCGGCGCCGTTGCGTGTTTTTTTTCTGCCTGCGTGCATGCAGGCCAGGCATCACCCGACCAATTCTGTGGTCTGTTTTCTTAAATCTCGTGATATTGATGCTGTCGTAGCAAGGCGAATCACAAGGCGTTGTGGCGCGCAGTTGAGCTTCCTCGCTTCGCCCCGAAATTGCAGCGAGGATTGGCAGAGTTTTGAGGTGTCTGTTGGACGCACAAGGCGCCCCCTGTAAACGGAAGAGGAAATGAAGGGACAGGAAGGGGGCATGAGTGGAAATGACAGGGAGGCCGTGGGAGTTGAAAGGAAATGAAGGAGAATGAGAACGGATAAAAGAAGACATGAAAGGGGAATGAAGGAAAAGGAAATCGCACGGGCATACAAAAAATGAAAGGGACGTGGAAGGAACACGAAAGAACATAACAGAATTACCCCGACGTCGAACTTGGCTATCCCGCTCCCTTTGGCTGGTGATGCCTTGAGGTGTTGAGTTTGTCAGAGTGAGTGAGTCCCAAAATGTGTGAGCAGACTTGACCGGTTTGTACGGTTTTAAGAGGGGTTTGCGGCGGGAATTTGAGCGGTTTTGAGGGGAATGGAGAGTTTGACCTGTCTGTAGGCAAAATTGACCAGGATCAATCCGGAGTTTAGCTCGCAACGCTGCGGCCGGCAAGGGCAAAAGGGTCGTGTCTTTTGCCACCCCTCTCTCCAAGTTGCGCGCAAGACACGTCACGCGTGGCCAGTTCAAGCGTTGGCAAGTCCTCGCATACATCTTTGCCATAACAAAAAAACAAAAATATGCAATGACATATAGCTACGCGCGAAGGCTGCTTTTGGTGAGCTTCTTGCCACCGCTGTCAATGTGGCCAAGCGGCGGCGCGCTTGGGCAACATTGGCCTCTTTAGCCGAGAGACGCCAACAAATACATCACTCCTTTGGCAAATCTCTGTCTCTGCTTTTGGGAAATGACACGTGCGTTGATCGCCTAGTCTCCACCTGGCTCCACAGAGCTCACTAGTTCGCCCCTTGTCCAGCGAGGAAGTCCGCGTACTGCATGTCGTAAAGGTTGGTGTGCTCACGGAAGTCCTGCAAACATGAGTCAACTTTGCAATCCGAGCTGCCTAGAACGACCCGGCTCAGTCTACCAGCACTTTGTGTTCTTTTCCTGAATCTGCTGTCAGCATCTGGGTTGCGACAACTTCGGCGCCCCTAGCGAACCCATGTGTCCCTTCAGCGCTGCCCAAATGGATTCGCCGCTCTTCTCGCTAGCTCCAGCTGCGATGGACGATTGAAAGATGTCGGCCAGCCAGTAAGAAAGCGGAATTGCCTCACAGCAAAAACAAATAGCCTTTGCCCTGAACAGCATACAACACGCATGTTGAAAACAGTTGCAGCCAAGACCTTCCCGCCCAATCCAAAAAAGCGACCTACTCATAGGGACTTGTCAGGGCGGCGGCAAGAAACCCAAACGACCAGCCATCTGCAAAGACCAACCCTGCCGGAAGGAACAGCCGAACAATTCAGGACCTTTGCGAAATCCGCGCAAACAAGTCGCGCAAAACAGCAAAGGTCCGCATAAGCGAGCGTTCCCACGCTTTGCGTGATAGACATAACCCACAACCAAGCCTCAGGAAGGGGGCAGACTGGTACGCGACAACGTTTGCGCTCGCATAAAACAATATTTGAACAACACGCTCCTGTAAACCCAAAATGTCGCGTTCAAGTTTCAGCTTGCGCCAGCACGCAAAGACACTTGTAAGACATTGGGCTCGCCTCCCCCAACTGCTAGCAGCCTGGCAAAGAATTTTCGTTGAAAATCAGGCGCCCGCCACACCCTAAAACCTAAGTCCGCCGAGGCCTGAGGAGATCACTGCAGCAAAGCGATCGAGGTAAGTGTAAAATATTGGTAGTAGAGGCCCCCGCTTTGCAATTGCTGTTTGGGCCCACATTTCAGAGTGTTTTGCGCGAGGGTGCCTTTTAGCCGTCAGTGCGGCGTCGGTTCGACATGTGGACAGGTTCTGGGGCTTTTGGGGAGGGTGGTGGTTGGGAAGATTGCACCAAATGTGGCGCGCGCGTGCGTGGCGTGTAAGAAACGAGATCTCTTTAAATGAAAGAGATCAACTTAGTGAATGAAGCACAAACGCATCCTTTGTTTTGTTTCGATGTAAGAAGTGTACATCTCCATGTTTTCTTTTTTTCCGTTGCGTATGATAGTTAACGATTCCTGATTTACGAAATACATCAGTGGCGTAGCATCACGCTTTGTAACAAAATCAATCTAGTAGAAAAGAATAACCGACATGGAATGGAGCGAAATGAAAAAGAAACAGTCATGAAATAGAAACGTCATGGAACAAACAATATTTGGAACTGGAAGCACAATTGCAAATGTAATAACAAGAAATAGCAATGGAAACAAGGCATGACAAGGAATTGAAAAGAAATGGAAAGGACGTGAAAAAGAAAGGAGTGGACATTGCGAAACAAGCACTTTCTCGGCCCGGCCTGGCCTTGGGCACTTCTAGCTGGGAATGGAAAGCAATGGAAAGCAATGGAAAGGAAGGGATGGACAGGAATGGACAGGAATGGACAAGACAGGGAGAGAAAGTCACAGAAATGGACAGGAGAGGAAATAGGAAGGACATATAAGCAAAGGAATAGAATATAAATTTAATCCATGGAAAGGAATGAAACAAATATGGAACGGAAAGGACATGAAACTAAATCTTAAAGAAATGGAAAGGAACCACGCCGCTTCAAAATTATTGACATGGACAATTGCGAAAGGAGCACTGTTTCGGCCCGGGCTGGTCTTGGGCACTTCTAGCTAGGAATGGAAAGGAATGAAAATGAGTGGAAAGAAAGATGGACAGGATTGAGCCGGGTATGGAAGGAACGCAAAGGACATGAAAAGGAATTTCAAAGACATGAAATTGACACCTGTTGCTTCACCATTATTGACATTGACAATTGCGAAACGGGCACTTTTTTGGCCCGGGCTGGCCCTGGGCACTTCTTCTAGCTAAGAATGAAGGGAAAGGAGAAGCAGAAATGGAAATAAATAACAAGAAATTGCAAAGAACATGGAAACACAAAGGAATGGAACCGATCATGTTTTTCCTTTGTTTAAAAAAAAGAATAAACGAAAATAAAAAGGAAAGAGAAGGGAGGAAAGTCGTTGAAAAGGAAATGGAAACAAATAGAGAAATGGAATAGAAAAGAACGGAGATGGAAAAGTGCCCAAGGCCAGCCCGGGCCAAATGGCATGAAAGGTAAGGTCTAGCCCATGTCCCAATATTATCATATCCTAACTCATTCCTATCTCACCGCCGTGATTACTAAGGGAAAGAAGGGTTGCAAGGTAAGGAGATGTCCCTTCGTTCATATGATTAATGTTATCTTGCTTTTGTTTAGCTGCAACAGTTATGACTCTGGAATTTCCAAGAAGCAAACCAGTAAAAGGACAGGAAAGAGACAGAGAATGAACGCTTTGGGATGCATCTCCCATCTTTGAAACGCTTAAAGTCCTAGCACTAAGATCTTAAGGAATAGAGTTCCTATAAACAAGACACAGCGATGAAACAAGTAAATAATAAATAGGTGATATTCATGACGAGACAAAATACAGCTAGTAAATCAAACAGATAATGCTTATAAATGTAAACCAATATGTGTGATATTCTGGAAGAAGCGGCTTAAGACCGGGATCTACAGGATATTAAATCTACTTTTGGATATCTTCGTTCGCATTTATAAGGCTTGTACAGAGGATCTCCTAGTCACCTATCTGTCCTTCCTTCTCCAAATCTTAATTCTTTTTGTTGGCATGAGAAGGATTATGAGAAGGACAAATATAGAGACATAATATTTATACATTAGGATTTACTTCTTCCTCAGTCGTAAGGTTGTGGCAGCTAGCGAAGCGATGGATAGCTTGTTTTAATATCAGCTCTTGGGATCTCTTACCTATATCCTGTGTAAAAGCGGAGGAAGAAAGGAACTGCTCATTTTTCAATTTCTTTCAAAAGAGTTCTGAGGAGGCGAGTTTCCTTTCCCTCCCTGTCATTCCTTTCCATTTCCATTCCATGTCAATTCCGTTTTAACTTCATTTCTTTCCTTTCTATTCTTAGCTAGCCAGCCCGGTCCAAACACGCGCTCGTTTAATTCACTTCCTTTCCATTCCTAGCTAGAAGTGCCGAAGGCCAGCCCGGGCCAAACACGTGCTCGTTTCGCAATTTCCCGTGCCAAGAATTTGGACAGGGCGAGTTTCATGTCCATTTCCTCAAAAAATATACCTATATCGTTCCGTCCCTTTCCATGTTCCTTTCACTCCTTTGCATGTGTGTTCCATGTCCATTCCATTTCAAATTCATTTCTTTCTTTCTATTTCGTGTATTTCTGTCTAGTTCTTTTTCTATCAATTTCCTTTCCAATTTTGTTTCCACTTCTTTCCATTTTCTTTCCTTGTTT